TTTCGAATTTTTCTGAAAGATCATAAAAATTCGTAAAATAAAAGAACTATGAATTGATTCAAAGATTTTCTTAATGTAATTATATTAAGAATTTTGGTGAACTGTTTCTATAAAAATATTTTTGACTCCTTTTATAATATTTTACTTCGATCTAATCTCAACTTCAATTCGATCCTTTGAATTTTTCTGAAGAATCATAAAAATTCGTGAAATAAAAGAACTATGAGTTTCGAGATTCAAAGATTTTCTTAATTTTCTTAATTTTAATTATATTAAAAATTTTGGTGAACTGTTTCTATAAAAATGTTCTTGACTCTTTTCGTAATACTTTATTTCGATCTAATCTCAACTTCGATTCGATTCTTCGAATTTTTACGAAGGAATATAAAAATTCATGAAATAAAAAACTATAAGTCGATTCAGTGACCTCTTAATGTAATTATATTAAAAATTTTGATGAACTGCTTCTATAAAAATATTCTTGACTCCTTTCGTAATATTTTGTTTCGACCTAACCTCAAATTTGATTCGATCTTTCGAATTTTTACGAATTTTTTTCTAAAACTATGAATTTCGAGATTCAAAGATATCTTAATATAATTATATTAAAAATTTGAATAACTATTTCTATAAAAATAATAAATCGTGTTTAAGAAGTTTGTAGATTGTTAGCAAACTTCGCCGACTCGTTCAACGAAACATTTCCGTGCTATTTGAATAAATGCGATTTGTATGCAACGATCTTTCAGTGTGCTACCGTATTACGATCCTGATTGACAAGTCGTTGCATTTACCCCCTTATTTGTTCAGCATTCTTTCTTAACATTCAGTCGGACGTGCACAATGCTCGGACACACAAATTTAACGGTTTTTGCGTTACAAGCCGTCCATGCCTGTAGCCACGTAACAATGTCAAGCGTGAATGTACCCATTGCGCAAGCGTCATAGAAAGCAAAGAGATGATCGAGAATCCTCGGAATACTTAATTGTCACGTGTCTTTACGTAGTATTTTTACCGAGTTTCCCTTTCGCAACAGCGAACACAACCCGCTTAATCGTGATCGGATAATAAAAATAATTGTGCAGAGGATGAATCGTTTAATGTTACAAATTGATCGAATCGGTCAATTTGCATTTCTAAACGTAAACGCATGCACGCCTCCGCCGGATTCTCTTGAGAATGATTTAATTCGTCCATATATCAGCTTTCTTAACGAGATTAATTCGCAGTGTTATATGTTAATAAACTTGAGTGGTTTTTTGCTATAAAAAGAAGATTATGAATAAATATATGTATACACACATATATATNCGCAGCATGTTAATTAACAAATAATTTTTTTCTCTCTCTCTCTCTCTTCGAATAAATTCATTTCCTTTGACTCTCACGTAATTTCTCAGGAAAGAGGAACTCTTCCTTTCCAAACTGCCACGCAATTTCTTATAGATTTTTGTTTTTAGATCGACGGTAAAGTTCAAGGTCATCGAAGACGATATTGCTCGTTGCTCACAACTCGACGATATTTCGCAAATCTGGAACAAGAGAAAGATAATATTCGAAATTGAATCTGATCCAAAAAAAAATTTTCATTTTTTAATATCTTCATAAAAAGCTCAACTTTCATCTTCATTAACTGCTCTTTCAACAATCTCAACTTCGTCTTGTTTTTCCAAGGAATGACTGATAACGCGATTTCTTCTCTCAATTATCTTCTCCTCAGAAGACTCGTTCTTTCCTTTTTTCTTTTTTTTCTCTTTCACAGATCCAACTCTTCTTCCTCTCGAAGAACGAATCGGCGTCGAAGAAAATTCGATCAAAATTTCGAAAATTGCCTGAAAACGCAAAAGAAGAAAAGAAGAGAGAGAGAGAGAGAGAGAGATGATAAAAAAAATAATAAAATAAAATCGATAAGATTTATCCGATCAATATTTCCGAAGAAGACAAGAGGCGCGTGTACACGCGAAATTCGATTCTGTTGTATGTCAGGCGTCGAAAAAGTGTGAAGGCGTAATGAAAAGCAGCCGCCTCGCCTTAAACACACCCTAATCTCGTTTTGGCTCTCGATTTAGAGAGCCGTGTACGCGCTCCATTCGCGGAATGGAATGG